TTGCGCTATCAGCGGATCCAGTGGAGGGCTCAAGAGGGTCTGCAACATGCGTGGCGTCGTTGCGGTTCGGACGGCCACCATCCAATTTTGCAGCGAGCTTGAGGAAGATCTGCGCAGTGAGGTAGCTGTCATAACCTGCTTCGTGGAGTAAGTGGCGATTCTGGTAGGATCTGAACTCTTCGGGGAGGCAGATTTGGGGTGTGAGCTGGGATTTCAGGTCTTGGTGAAGGTCTTGAAGGCTGGACGATTGACGAGAGTCCACGAGAGCTTTGCGGGTAGCCATGTACTTCGTGTCGATGACCATGGGGAAGAGGGCGTGGATCTTCTCCTGGAATTCGGTGACGGTTGGGGGGAGGTCTCCAATGAAGGTGCGGTAGAGGAATATGAGATCAGTGAAGAGGTTATGACCGACGAGAACACGGGATCTGGCTGTCAGGGCTTTGGTGAGACTAGATAGCTCGAGCTTTTTTAAGGAGGTGTCAATGAAGGCGGATTGGCCGGCAGAGTTGACACAGAACCAGTTTGGGGCTATACTAGAGAGATCGCCACCAGCGAGAGCTTCAAAAATATAGCGGAAGCCTATTTGATGTGTAAGTAGGTTATTAGAGGCGAAAGCAATAGAAAGAAAGAAATAGTCAGCCTACCAATTTGTTTGGCCAGCTGAGCTTCGTTGGCTATAACCTTTGAAGCAGCAATCTAGAGAAATCAGCAAATCCCCTATACTAAACCGAAATCCACATACCTTAGCCTCCTTCGCGAGGTCCATCTTCTCAACCTGTACGAAATCGGCGCTCTTCCTCGGCAAGAAGGCTCTGTATTGCTTGAACTCGGTCCTGACAAGTTGGTAAACCAGTCTCCGCTGATAGCCACTAAGTCCACCCGGCACAGCTACATTGTAGAATCCCATTGCGTCCCTTACGGCCTTATTCTTGGGGTCCGTCCATTCCAGCAACTGTTTCCTAGCGTTGCGGTAGAAGTTAAGAGTGGCCTGGTCGCCAGGGCTGATTTCGATATCCGGAATGGTGCTGTTCCTGTTTTGGCGATCTAGGAAAGCTTGACGAGCCTGGGCTTGCTCCTTGCGGGAGACATATGATATCCCTTTCGTGAAGACGGCGCCGATGTCGAAGCCGTTCTTCCTCAGGAAATGCATGGAGCTTGACGAAAGGGTGATATCACGGTAGATATCGAGCTTATCTCCATCTTCTAGCAGTGGATTGATATTGAAGTTGTATGGGCGGGCTGTGTATACTCCTACGGCCTGTCAGTCCACGAAATGGCACGCGCTCCTACCTCATCATGTCCAGCTGACGAGGACTGACCATTCTTCCAATCTTCTTCCACACACGTCAGACCGATCTGCAAGACTTGATATCTTTCGGCAGCCTCTTTCGTATCTTCATACTGCTGTTGGAGAGACGGCTTGCCCGTTTCGTTGAACCGTCCACTAGGTGAGTATCGTGACTTGGTTGAGATCCCACTCATCTCCACATCGACGGTAACGAAGCTTGCAGTGGAAATGGCTTTTAGAATGGGCAACAGCTCATGCCAGAAGTGCTGCTGGTCGACCTCCATATTGATGAAGGTTAATTGGAGGACTTGCCTTTCGTGGCATATATTTTGAGCGGTGTATCAACTTCAGGTTTTGAACGGCGCGCGTGTCACTTGGGTCGATCTAGCATGGGACAAGGAACAAGAAAAGACCCTCTTGCCGTGAGGTAGTTGTGTGGTAGCTGTGAAGCTGTTTCGGTAATGAAAATGCACACTTATATCATGAGTGGCGGTTGTGGCTTTTATGTTTATGCGGGGGATGCGTGTGAACTTCAAGGGATATAAAAGACGTGCTCTATTACATTGATTACAGAGCCTATGAACTTTTGAATGCAGCAGAGGAGAAGAGAAATATATGGGATTTGGGGAGTAATGTTTGACTTCCCTGAGGATTGTTTTGCCAGCACTCATGTGTCAATATCAAGCAAATAAAGTTTGATGGCGGAGCTTGTCAAAGGTGCCTTCCATGCATGAACCGGTTATGCGGTTGAGTAAAAAAACGGCACGGTTCACCATTAAATACTTGTGCCCCTCAAAGGTCTGAAAAGTGGCTGTAGGTAACAACAGTGGTTACAGCACTTTAAATACGCGTAAGGGCGTTCAGTTTCTCAAAGCGATAATCAATAGACCAGTTACTAACAAATGGAATTGAAGAGAGAGGTTCTATGCCTGAGAACATCATTCAGATTGAATCGTATCTCACGTGACCATCCTATCCATTGGTGGTGCCCTGCGGCTGTAATATCCAAATTGCCGAGGCTCCAGTACGCGATCACCTGCTAACACTCCGAGAGATCTCCAGATTCTCCCCGTACATTCCTCGGAGCTAACGACTGAAGGGCCTCATCCCCGTCCCCTCCAATCTCCTCGGCCTCGTGCGTCTTCCCCAGATGCCCTACACGCTAAACAATGGCTTTTAATGGGTCCACTCCTTCACTCCTCCCTCCCAAAGACTCCGGATCCTCATCCTTATCCTCCTCACAACTACTCTCGGCTTCAATGGCGAGCTCGACATCTTCTCGACATGGCTCTTCTCAGATCTCAAAGATCTATCGGCAGTCCTCAACCTTATTCCTGACGCGTCGATTGCCGGAGTCGCTATCTACCATCCTTCCTGTGATCACGGCGCCGACAACCACAGACTCAAATGGCAACACCTCGGTCGTGGACCAAGCCCCAATTGCCAAATCCTCACGCACCACCAGGATCAAGGTCTGGAGTTTATACCTGACCATCCTAAACGCCATTGTCGAGCTCGACGGCGAAGAAGGCAAAGCCGCCTTCGGCACCCAAGAATGGCGCAACCTCGTCACCAAGGTCCGTGACGGCATCGTCTGGGAAGAAGTAGTCCAAAACGGGTACCGCGGAATCGAAGGTGACGTTGACGCCGACGTGGTTATTAACCTGTTCGTCCCTCGCCACCCCTCAATCCTCGAGATCACATGCTGACCCCTCCCAGAGCAACCCTCCTCCTCGCCCACGCCCGCACCCAGCACCTCAACCAGCAGCGCCTCGAAGCCTACCTCGCCGCTGCCCGCACCCCCAACCTCGACCTCACAGGCCGCTTCAACGAATCCTCCGTCCGCGGCGCCAGTCCCACCCGCAGCGTCGGCACCGACACCCCCCGCGACCTCAACGCCCGCGTCAAGATCCTCGAGCTCTACACCCTGCACGTCCTCCTTCGCAATGACGAGTGGTCATACGCGCGGGACTTCATCTCCGCCTCCGAAGTGCTCGACGAAGAGCGCCGCGAAGCTTTCCTAGCTGCCCTCCAGAGCCTGGAGGATGAGCGCGAGGAGGCCGCTCAGCGCGAACAAGACCTCGCGAGGGAGAAGGAGGAGAAGCTGCGAGCTGATTTAGAGGAGGCGAAGAGGCGGCGGATCGAGAGCGAGGAGCGCGAGGCAAGGAGGCTGGAGGAACAGCGTAGTGCGAGGGCGGGAAGCGAGGTTGATTACGGGGTTGACTCGTCACATCCGGTGCAGGGTAATGGGTCTGCGAGCGGGAAGGCCGCTAATGGGAATGGCTCGGCGAGTGGGAAGTCCTCGCCGTCTAGATCGGCGGCGGCGCCGAAGAAGGGGGCTATCAAATCTAGAGTTGTGCATTCGACGAGGCCGTCCGGGTCGGGACAGCGTGCTGTGACCCCGCCGAATATGATTCAGCGGGCCACGAACCTCATGGGGAGCGTGCAGAAGCTGATTAAGGTTCTCGCGGCGACGCTGCTGAACAACCCGGGGTCAGTGCTGAGGACCCTGGCGTTCGCGGTGCTCATCTTGCTCGCGCTGGGGAATCGCGCGGTGAAGGATAGGCTGAGGGGTATGTGGGGTAAAGTGAGGGGGACGATGGGGATGGCGACCAAGGTTAGCTATATTTAGTGGGGCTGGGGGGAGATAATGTCGCACATGAATGCATATTTGGCGCTGGTGGGTGGGATTTTGAGGGTTTGAAGCAAGGGGCTTGTATGTATAGTAAATAGTGGCCACCCCAGAAGGCGTTAGGATTGGATCAGGGAACATGGCAAGTCTGTCTGCCTCAAGAGGTATAATTTATTTTATTTGTCGTCACTACTCTACTTGCAGGTCTTGAGTGAACCTATGTGTATGTTGAAACTATCATCGGAGGCGCCCTGTGCTGCTTGATTTCATACTTCTTTCCACTTGTATATAACGTCCTTTTTGTCTCATAACCATTTAATCATGATCTAGGAATGGCGTTGTCTCTGTCTCTCCGGCGGCCTTTTCGTACGCATGCCCCCCAAAGATCTTCCTCGTCTTTGCCTTTATTGACCCCGCAGTTTCAATTCCCCGGCACCCATCCATCGACTGTCTATCTGAGGAGCTGTGTCTCTTTTTCTGCAATCTCCTCCCCTTACGCTGTCGAATCGCCTCTCGATTCTCGTCTTTACAGGGAGCTGTCTTCCCACAAAACGCCCGCTGAAGCTTGGCTAATAACTGATGATGCGAAACTCTGAGTTGGCCACTGTTGATAGACATGCCCATCTGGGTGACCCTGCGATAATGAGGGGAGGAAGGAAACTGAAAATCGTCCCGTAGAGCTTCTCACTTGGGGAGTCAGGACTTAGGAAAAGGAGAAAGAAAACAAACTGTTTTATACCGAAGCACAGCAGAGGGGTTATAGAGAAACTACGGTAGATAACATGATGCCATGCGGTGTGTAATTACTGTAACTACTGTACCTGGTACGAAAAAAGGTTGTCAACTACCATAATACAGTAGTGTGAGAATTTCCCTAGGCCGATCGAACCCCTGGTGACGCCATGATGATCGTTGACAGCTCGGTAATCTCATTCTCACTTTTTTTTAAAACACCACACCCGTAACTTTAACTTGCATTTCAACAAAAAAGCATTTCTTACTACGTCTTTTTGTCTATACTTTACGAAATGCAAAAAAGATATACGAAAACGTGCAAAAAGGACAAAAAAAGTAAATTTTCACTCCAAGAGGGGCTCGAACCCTCAACCTCAAGATGTCACGTGACATGTTGTACAATGTCTTGGTAGAAGTCTTGCGCGCTACCATTGCGCCATTGGAGCCATTGGTATGCTGTAGCGCGACGAGGGAAGTCTATATGGATGTGTAGGATTTGCATCTAATCCGATTATTAACAAAAGAAAATTATATCGACAACTAACACTATTGTTATTATACTACTTGTTAAATTTCTATGTGCTTTACTACTAAATGATTCTAATATAATAAAAGAGGGCTTGCTTTATATATATATATCTAAGGGGAGGTTTAAGGTTTATATAAATTAAAAATATCATACTTATATTTATGGGCAAAAATAATTAATACCCCCCTTACGAATGACCCCCATGCCCTGATGCAAACCCCTACTAACATGAAATCACCTAATAAAACAGTCTTAATTTGATTGAAATACAATCGAACCATACAGACACCTCTAATCCCGCATATAAGGGGCTATCTTTAACCCAGAAATAAAATAGGAGAGTGATGGAATAGTGGTTCGACTTTACGATGGAGCTCCTGGTGGCAACATATCTCTTCTACCTCAACGAGGACATAAAAACAACTCCAATGCTTCTTTAATAAGATTAAACCATATAGTGTCTCCGTGGATCTAAAGAAGGGAGACATTCAGTTCGTGAACAGTGTCAGCATCCTTCATCCCCGCGATGCCCTCCAGGACACTCCTACCTATAAGTACGTTCTGCACCCAGCTAATCGACGCCGCTCTCCTAGACCGCTTCAAGCGCGTCACAGGCCAGGACCCGCACCCCTTCATGAGAAGGGGTCTCGTCTTCAGCCACCGCGATTTCGGAAATATCCTGGATCGGCACGAGAAGGGTCTGTCTTTCTTCCTCTATACTGGCAGGGGGCTGAGCAGTGATAGCATGCACTTGGGTCATATGGTGCCGTTCTCGTTTACCAAGCAAGTTTTCCCTGGCTGTCCTTCGTTCGGCATGCATTTCTTGGATTTTTGACTAACCGCTGCGCGTGCGAGCAGGTGGTTGCAGGACGTCTTTGACGTCCCCCTCGTTATCATGATGACAGATGACAAGAAGTACCTGTTCAGCAAGACGGCCTAGACCATGGCGGAGATGCTCACCTTTTTGCGGGGAAACGCGCGCGATATCCTCGCCGTGGGATTCGATGTCAAGAAGACCTTTCTCTTTAGCGATCTTGAGTTCATGGGAGGAGCGTTTTATGAGAATGTCGTCAAGGTCTCGCGATGCATCACTTACAACGTTAGCAAAGCCGTCTTTGGGTTTACGGAAAAGTTTTGTGCCACCAGTCTACCCCGTTCTAAGATGTCAAGTTAATAAAGTTCCTTTTTAGTGACAACATAGGCAAGAGCCACTTCGTCTCTATCCAGACATCAACCTCGTTTGCCACAACATTCCCTCACATCTTTGGCTTTGACGTCAAGTCAACTTCTCAAATCCCATCCCTTATTCCGTGCGCTATCGATCAAGACCCATACTTCAGGGTCTCTCGGGATGTGGCTCCACGTCTGGGATACGCCAAACCCTCCATCATCCACGCCAAGTTCTTTCCCGCGCTTCAAGGCCCAGGCTCGAAGATGAGCTCTTCGATCAGCACCAGTGCTATATTCATGTCAGACACGGCAAAGCAGATGTGGGTACACGACCCTTTTGCCACAACATTTCCTCACGTCATTGGCTCGGAGGTCAAGTCAACCTCCCAAATCCTATCCCTTATCCCCTGCGCCATCGATCGTCTTCGAGAAGCCTTTTGCTAATCTCAGCTCCGCGACCACAGCGAGCGTAAAATCAACAAATACGCCTTCTCAGGCGGCCAGGATACGGTCGAGGAACACCGTCGTCTCGGTGGCGACCCGGATGTGGATGTGGCGTATCAGTACTTGAGCTTCTTCACAGACAATGACGACGAATTGGAGACTATTCGCAAAGACTACCGAAACGCGGACAGTTCAGGTATAAAAAAAATTACATGTATAGAATTTATACTCTGCCACAGTCTTTACCATTCTAAATTGGTCAATGTGTGAGTAGGGAACAAACATATAATTCTTCCAGAGATAGCTTCATGATGTTTTTCAGGCACTCCAGTAGTCAAGGTTAGCCCGCCCCAGCAACGATTCGCTATTTATTCCACACTGCAATAAACACAGTTGAAAAGCCATGTCCCAGCCCATCTCTGCTTGTCCAGAGATAGGATCCGCATTTCATAAGTTATATCAAGGAAATAATCTCGTTCAGGATAGATAACACACACTTTTCTATGCATGTATTTTGACGACACAAATACCAGCTTCTCAAGCCAGTAGTAGCGGGTTCTTTGCAAGGCTGTCTACGACGAGAGAGTGCTTTTAACGGGTATCTATTTTGTAGATATTTTTTCTTGTGCTTGGAAGAAGAGTATAGTTTGGTTGCAAGTGAAATGCTTGGCTTGGACGATAATAAGGTTCAGGACTAGCTATTATACGACTATATATATAAGAAAAACAGAATCAAATAGAACGAATTCTTTTTTTTAGCCTATCTACTTTATTTTTTTCTCCTTCTTTGATTTAAAAGAATTTTTATTCCTTGATTCAAAACGTTCCCAGCTACCCGGAAGTATTATTTATATCTCGGATCTATTTCAGAACATCTCCAAAACCTCCCCACCTCACCACAACCCCACCCCCCCTTCCCCCCCACTACCAAGAAAACCGCAGTCTCAACCCACTTCCCACTCACTGAAACAAACCATGTCGTCACTCATCACCAGAGCAGCAAAAAAAAAGACACAGAAATGTTTATGAGTGGTGTATTATTATATATATTAATTCTATTCTACTATCCCATCCATGCATGCATGCTGTCCAGTTGTTACCAGCCCCCCATCGTATCATATATATTCATACCATATGTAAAATCCCATCCCATCCGTCATGATACCCCCAAAAAATCCCAAAAAGTCGCTATTGTGATATACCCATGCCCATCCCATCCCATGCTCCCGTCGTAAAAATATGCTTTCAAATTCCCAAACACCATCCATCTCTCTTCAAAACCCAACTCGATCCTTCGCCCATCCAGAGCAGAGGATCGGAGAGCGAGGAGGAAGACCAGGACTTAAAACCCACCAACAGGCGTAATCAGATCCACGCTCTTCGTCCTCCCTCCCCAGCCCCCACGACTGGGCAACGGCCTCTCCTGTCCGGGACTCGAGACAACGCCGAAGTACCCCTTGGAGCTCTTCCCGCGGTACGCCCAGACAACACCACTATCCGAGTCCTCATCCGACTCAGGCGGGCTAATCTGTTCCCTCTCCGCCCTCCTCGCAATCCCCGAGCTTATCGAGCGCAAGGATGCTAACGCAGTAGGAGGAGTATACAGAGAAGGTGAAGAGAGCGTAGGCGAGAGACGGGGGATGATGTCCCGACCCGCTGTAGCGGTGGTGACGGGGGAGGTAGGGTGTTGGCGGTGATAGTGCGTTGGAGGGAGGTAGGGCGAGGGAGGCGGCGAGGAGGGGTAGAAGGTCGTGTGCGCGGAGACGGGGTGGTCGAGCTGGCGGCAGCGTTCGGAGCAGTAGAGGGTGTTTTGTCCCGGGGAGGGGGGCAGCTGGGAGTCGCAGTATGTGCTGTATCATCTATTAGCTTTTGATCTCATAGTCTCATATCTGTGCCACTGATAGCGACCGTGGGGGGTAAAAGACGTACCAGAAATCGAGGAAACTCTCGTCTCCGCCTTCAGCGGCGTATTCGTCCTCCTCGGCGGAACGGGCAGCGCGCCCGCGGCGCTCGCGCTCTTGGGTGCTGCGGCGGAAGAGCATTGGGCGGTGCGAGGAGCTCTTGCGGCGGGGTTGGGGGCGGGAAGAAGGGCGGGTGGCGTGGGGGGAGGGAGGGGGGGAGGTGAGGGTTGAGGAGGGGGCCAGGGTTGCGATTGCTGGTGTTTGGCTGAGGGTGGTTTTTGTGGTGTTTGCTTGTGGTATGTTGTTTGCAGTTATGGCAGTTGGAGTGTGTGGTGAGAGTTGTATGAGTTGTATAGAGTGAGAACCGTCGAGGTCGAGGACGGGGTGGGGGTGATATATAGATGCTTGATTGTGAGGTGATAAGGGGATTTTATCGCCGATTATCGATTATCGGGCGGGTGCAGACGGGATGCTTGATGGGGAAATTGAATGGGATTCCCTTTTTCTCTATCTAGCGTATAGTTGTGTAGTGCTCGTGTGTCTGTTATGTGCGTGTGTGTATGTGTGTCTTTCTTATCTGTGGGCTGTGGAGAGGCAGCTGAGTGAGGGTGGGCTGGCTGGGCTGGCGGAGAGATAAGGTTGGTGAGTTTTGAGTCTAGCCGCGAGATCGGAGAGTGGTGGTTGTGATAGGTGAGTAAGGGTGATAAGTGAGTAATCCGGTCGAGTTGAGTGAGTATGAATGAAGGTCGATGGAATTGAAGCAGTTGAAGCAGTTGAAGCAGTTGAAGCAGTGTTAACTGTGAGTCTTTGTGTGCGTATACTTATTTTATTATATATATATTTTTTCCATCGTGGGAAACAAAGGAAGGCAGAAGTGCTTTATATGGTCGGACCCGAATAGAGAGCGAGCGTATGGTGTAAGAGGTACTCGATATGGGCATTTGTACCTTTTCGCAATCCACCAACCCACCAATCCACCATCGTGAGTCAAATGGCGAGCGATGGCAGCAAAAACCCCACCATTTTTCCATTTACTTGCAAGGAGTATACAATACCTGGCAGAAGTACCAAGTTGCATCACCTCCACCCCACAATTCCACGATTAACAGCCCAGACACAAAAGACCTTACTCCGTACATGGTCGATACATGCACTCACACCCAATTTTCATAGACGCATAATGTACCAAAACACACATGGCCAGCTTCCACCATCCTCTATGGCTATTGTGCTATATCTGTAATTTTTGTATTTTTGTATTTTTGTAGTTTCGTAGTTTCGTACTCTTGTACTTTCGTATTTCTGTACTTTTCCTGCTCCCTTGGTGGTCAATTGGTCGTCAGAATTGTGCCATGGTGCCATGGTGCCCATGTGTAGTGGGCCATCCTCCTATTATGCCATT